GGTCCGGGCTGGGGATTCGAACCTGCCACCTTAGGTGTACGTGGCTGGCGTCTTAGCCAGTTGAGCTATAGGCGCCGAGCCGAAAGGTTTTCTTAAAGTTAGTTGTGCCCTGTTGAAACATCTGTCTTTTATTCTAAGATTATTTCATGTATTCTTTTTGTAAAAATGTTAAACCAACCTTGTTTGTTCTTTTTTGAAATAACAGTGATCAGTGTTTTATATGTTTGCTTTTTGGACTTTTAATGTCGTTACCTGGCTAAATAAATATAAATGTAGCTGTTTTGTGTTGGTACCTTGATGCTTTCTGGTTTGGGGAGCTTTTCCTGGCCAATAAACCCAGGAATTGAGGAGCTCCTGATCTTGGCTTACAGGGGGTATCTGGAGTTATCTACCCTTTTGTGGCACAAATGCCTCTCACTTGTTTTAATCTTCCCTCTCTCCTCTTCACACCCGGGAGTTGGGGTTGACTCAAGCCTGGCTCACGTGCTTTCTCTGTGCTCACACGAAGGCCCTCTGATTCTCCCCAGCCATGGATTTTCCCCAGCACAGCCATCACGTCTTGGAGCAGCTGAACCAGCAGCGGCAGTTGGGGCTTCTCTGTGACTGCACCTTTGTGGTAGACGGCGTTGACTTTAAGGCTCACAAAGCAGTGCTGGCAGCCTGCAGTGAGTACTTCAAGATGCTCTTTGTGGACCAGAAGGACGTGGTGCACCTGGACATCAGTAACGCGGCAGGTATACCTTTGGGGCCAGGGCGAACCTGCTGAGAGAAAGAAGGTGTGGGGGACACATAGGTCATAGGCCTGTTTTGACAGGGAGCAGAGTGGTAAGGGGAGGACTGGCAGGAAGGGCTCATCTAGGCCACAGTGAATTTGTCAGGGGGGACAGAGAGCAGGCAGGCCCCTGGCTTCTTTCCATGGCTGGGTCAATCCCAAAGTCCCTACTGCCCTAGTGCTAACCATGAGTAGGAGTGATGCTTGGTGATGGGGACAGTGGGGCTGCGGGGTGGCTGGGAGTAGTGTCAGGAAGACCTGGTCCTGGATTCAGGCTCCCAAGCCAGAATAGCACTCATGCACAAGAAGGTCATGCAAGTGGGCATAGATGCAGAAGGTGAGGCCCAGAGAGGTCAATGAGTGGTCTGGAATAACTGCAAAGCTGGCAGCAGAGCTCCAGCAAAGCCATTGCTGGCATAGTCAGGTTGGAGTGTCCTTCAGTGGTGAGATGCAGTAGCTGGGTAAACGGTGTGTAGGCCAGGTATTCACACCCATCCTTGGTGCAGAGTGAGCGTTCATACCTTCAGTGGGTGCACTTCATTTTGGAGCATGGGAGAGGGAGACCACTCAGTTTGTCATGAGTCCCTGGGCTCTACTGCTATGTGGAGTGGGACAGGCTGCCAATGCAGGGCCTTGCCCCTGGGTCTGTGATCCCTGTCCTGTCCTTGGCAGGCCTGGGGCAGGTGTTGGAGTTTATGTACACAGCCAAGCTGAACCTGAGCCCTGAGAATGTGGATGATGTGCTGGCTGTGGCCAGCTTCCTCCAGGTGCAGGACATCATCACAGCCTGCCATGCCCTCAAGTCACTTGCTGAGCCGGCCACCGGGCCTGGTGGAAATGTGGAGGCTTCGGCCACAGAGGGTAAGCTGACTGGCAGGCTGTTCCTGAGTAACCAATGGGGGGCTATGGGAGGGGGCTCTGCCTCTGACTCTCTGGGCACCTCCCTGGTGGGTGCTGGTGAGGGTTTGCCATAGTAAGGTCTGAGGACAGTCCCTCTGCCTGGTCCTTTCCTGCCTTTCACCAGCTAGACCAGAGCTGTGGTGGTTCAGCCCCCTCACACATGGGTGGGTCTCCTCCAAGCCCTTGTGTAGCTCTCTTCTCCCAGCTCTTCCTTCCATCCCCCTACTCCCTCAGATAAGCCCTCAGATGCCTGCTGTGGCCCAGACTCCTTGTACACTTTCAAAGGCCTGCTCCTCCCCTTCTAAGCACTGACCTTTGATCAGCCTCCTTATTGCATATGTGAAGTCTGTCTCCCCCACATGCCCCACAGAAGCAGCACCGTCACTTCTACATGCCCAGTGCCCAGCTGGCAGCCTGGCATGGAGTGGGCCCATTGTGAATAATTAACAAAGCAACAAACTGCTGAGATGTATCCCTAGGGAAGATATGAAAGAGCTGGCAAGTTCTGAGCACCTCACCCTTCCACCTAGTGGGCACTTGATGGGAAATGGCAGTTCTGTCCTGTTCCATCTCCAGGAGGGGACAAGAGAGCCAAAGAGGACAAGGCTACCGCCACTATGCTGAGCAGGCTGGACCAAGTGGGAAGCAGTCCACCCACAGGCCCAGGCAGGGAGCTCAAAGAGGAGCGAGGTGGCCAGGCTGAGAATGCAGCCCCTGGTGAGTTGTGATGCTGAACACCCGCTGGCTGGCTGCCCTGGAGGGGGAGGAGGCAGCAGGAAGCCCCAATGCCTGTCCCATCACTTGCCAGCAGCCTGTGCTGCTGGCACATGGTGGCACAGTGGGGGCTGCCTCCAGGGTCGATGGCAGAGGCACCTGCACTTTCTGTGCTCATGTAACCCAGAAAGGTTCATTGTTCTGGGATATCCATCCAGCCACAGCAGAGACACCAGCAGCCTGAGCTTAGGTGTGCCAGGACCTCCCCTCCTGGGCCACAGCTACCTACCACGAAGGGGCCTGGTCCAGCAAAGCAGTCCAGCTCAGCCTCCAGTACATCCCATCCCACTCCAGGTGCAGAGCAGACGGAAAAGGCTGATGCCCCCCGGGAGCCGATGCCTGTGGAACTCAAGCCAGACCCCACGAGTGGCATGGCTGCTGCAGAAGCAGAGGCTGCGTTGTCGGAGAGCTTGGAGCAAGGTACTGGCCAGTCAGGGCCAGCCCGGCTCCCTCTCCTCCCACCTCCAGCAGGTCCCACTTGGAGGCACCACTCACTTCAGCTTTTGTCTTCTGGAATCTCGAGATCCGTTCCTTGGTAGAACATCTTGGGCGTGTTTCTGTTAACACAGAAGTATCCTTATTGCCCTGGAGCCTCTGCTCCTTTCCCAGCTGAGCACCACACAGGGTGCCACGCCCGCATCCCTCAAGCAGCCGATAAGCAGGCCACAGAGCCCCTTAAAGGCGTTCACACGTGCGGAGGTGCCAGAGCGCCAGAGCCCATACTCCGCCCTCTGGGGGCCCCGCCCTGAGTGCCTGCGCTTCTCTTCGCAGAAATGGAGGTGGAGCCGGCCAGGAAAGGAGAAGAGGGGCTGGAGGAGGAGGAGGACGCAGGGCCTACCGAGGTCAAGGAGGAGGGGCTGCAGCTGGAGAACGGCGAGCCCGAGGAGACGGAGGAGTCGGTGGGCACCGATTCTGGTCAGGAGCTCGGTGCAGAGACCCGGAGCCTGCGCTCTGGCACCTATGGTGACCGCACGGAGTCTAAGGCCTATGGCTCCGTCATCCACAAGTGCGAGGTGTGGCCTGTGGGGGGCCGGCCCGCCCCTTCCGGGCCTCCCGCCGCCGGCGCAGCCCCTCACGTGCCCGCCCTGCTGTGCCCGCAGGACTGTGGCAAAGAGTTCACACATACCGGGAACTTCAAGCGCCACATCCGCATCCACACCGGCGAGAAGCCCTTCTCGTGCCGGGAGTGCAGCAAGGCCTTTTCGGACCCGGCCGCCTGCAAGGCCCACGAGAAGACGCACAGGTACTGCCCCAGCCGGCCCCTGGGCCCCGTGAGCCCGCCTCTCCCGGCCCCCCGGGTCCCGCGAGCCCGCCTCTCCCTGTCGACCTCTGCCCCGCAGCCCGCTGAAGCCCTACGGCTGCGAGGAGTGCGGCAAGAGCTACCGGCTCATCAGCCTGCTGAACCTGCACAAGAAGCGGCACTCGGGCGAGGCGCGCTACCGCTGCGAGGACTGCGGCAAGCTCTTCACCACCTCGGGCAACCTCAAGCGCCACCAGCTGGTGCACAGCGGCGAGAAGCCCTACCAGTGCGACTACTGCAGCCGCTCCTTCTCCGACCCCACCTCCAAGATGCGCCACCTGGAGACCCATGACACCGACAAGGAGCACAAGTGCCCGCACTGCGACAAGAAGTTCAACCAGGTGTGCAGATTTCTCCCAAACCGGCATCCAGAAGGCCTTGTCGCGGGTGGCCGCAGCCCGGACACATGCCGTGTGGGGTGGGAAAGACACAGCTGGAGCTCCCTCCTGATGGCACCTAAGTGACTTTCCCCTGGTGGAGCTCCCGACAGCTCTGTGGAGGCCACCAGGAGGGCAGGCTGCATCAGGGTGTAGGTGGGCCCTTCATTGCTGGGACCTGGGAGAGTCCATTGGCCCAAGGAGAGAGGGAGCCGTCCAAAGGCCCAGGGAGGCCTGAGTGTTGATGGTTCCCTGGTGGGAGGGGCTGTGAGGGGCCAGGGCTGAGTGTGGGTGGCCCTGCTGACCCCTGCCTGGGCACAGGTGGGGAATCTGAAAGCCCACCTGAAGATCCACATCGCAGACGGGCCCCTCAAGTGCCGGGAGTGCGGGAAGCAGTTCACCACCTCAGGTAGGGCCAGGGCTGTCCTGGCTGCCCTCATACCACTGCTCCCCGGCCACCTGGTGGCGCCCCAAACCAGGCCTGCCCTTGGTCTCGCCACAGGGAACCTCAAGCGGCACCTGCGGATCCACAGTGGAGAGAAGCCCTACGTGTGCATCCACTGCCAGCGGCAGTTTGCGGACCCCGGCGCTCTGCAGCGGCACGTCCGCATCCACACGGGTGGGTGAGCAGCCCCCTGCAGCCCAGGGTGGGGACAGGAGCGTGGGGCAGGGGAGCGGGCGTCAGCACCTTCTCCTGCCCGTCCCCAGGTGAGAAGCCATGCCAGTGTGTGATGTGCGGCAAGGCCTTCACCCAAGCCAGCTCCCTCATCGCCCACGTGCGCCAGCACACCGGGGAGAAGCCTTACGTCTGCGAACGCTGCGGCAAGAGGTCCTGCCGCCCTCGCCCATCCCCAGGGTGCAGTGAGGGCTTCAGAAAGCAAACCAGGGGCTCGGTTGGGAACGGGGCAGTTCCATGCCAGCCCTTCTCTTGCCCTCTTGCAGGTTTGTCCAGTCCAGCCAGCTGGCCAATCATATCCGCCACCACGACAACATCCGCCCACACAAGTGCAGTGTGTGCAGCAAGGCCTTTGTGAACGTGGGGGACCTGTCCAAGCACATCATCATCCACACGGGTGAGCCTGTGCCCTGTGCCTGCACCTGTCCCTTCCCAACCCCTGGGGGGTGGGGGGAGGAGGTGCCCCCAGGCCCCAGCCTTGGGTGTTGGCACTTGCTACAAGTGGCCTTGAAGGCAGTTCAGTTCATTTTCAGAGGTGTCTGTTCAAGCTGGAAAAAACAGGGCTGCTGGGCAAGCTGGAGGTGTTGAGTGAGGTCCTCCCACGCCCGCCCTGCTGCTCCTTCCCCCAAAGGCAGGAGAGAATCTTGCCTTCCCCCCAGGAGAAAAGCCTTACTTGTGTGACAAGTGTGGTCGTGGCTTCAACCGGGTAGACAACCTGCGCTCTCACGTGAAGACTGTACACCAGGGCAAGGCAGGCATCAAGATCCTGGAGCCAGAGGAGGGTGGTGAGGTCAGCGTGGTAACTGTGGACGACATGGTCACACTGGCCACTGAGGCATTGGCAGCCACAGCTGTCACTCAGCTCACAGGTGCGGGGTTGCGGGCTGCAGAGGTCATGGCAGTTTGCCTCTGGGCGGCACAGCCATGGGGCAGGTGCTGTGGTCTTCACCTTAGGCCCTGTTGATTCTGCCCACAGTGGTGCCAGTAGGGGCCGCAGTGACAGCTGATGAAACGGAAGTACTTAAAGCTGAGATCAGCAAAGCTGTGAAGCAAGTGCAGGAAGAAGGTGAGAGGGGCCACCCAGGGTGTGAACGCTAGTGGACCCCACAGTCCTTCCCACCCTGACCACAGCCCCCACCTTCACAGACCCCAACACTCACATTCTCTACGCCTGTGACTCCTGTGGGGACAAGTTCCTGGACGCCAATAGCCTGGCTCAGCACGTGCGGATCCACACGGCCCAGGCCCTGGTCATGTTCCAGACGGATGCGGACTTCTATCAGCAGTATGGGCCAGGCAGCACGTGGCCAGCTGGGCAGGTGCTGCAGGCTGGGGAGCTGGTTTTCCGCCCCCGGGATGGGGCTGAGGGCCAGCCTGCACTGGCAGAGACCCCCCCCACAGCTCCTGAATGTCCACCACCTGCTGAGTGAGCAGACAGCTCTTCCCTGGACTGTTTATTTAAAGATGGGTGGCATCCTGGAACTGAGAAGGGTGGCCCCATTCCCTAGAGAGAATAAATTTGATTATTTTCTAATGCTGCTTTTAGGTCCCTGTGGGGGTGGGAGAGGGAGCTGGACTGTTGCCACAGAAAGGCTATACCACCCAAGGACCAGCCTCCTGGGAAAGCCAGGCTGGCCCTCCTGCCAAATGGGACTGGAACCCTAGGACCAGTCTTAAAACCAGATTGGCTTTTGCCCTGATGGGCTGTGGGTGGCACATTTGGGCCCAAGAGACCGTGGTACCTTGTGCCCCATCTCCTCCTCCAGTCTTCTCCTTAGAGGCCGCTCCGGTGTTCAACTTTAGGACCCAGTTCCCTCTCCTCCTCCTCTCCCCAGCAAGTGCAGTTGGGACCCCATTTCTCCCCCCCTCAGCAGGGCAACAACTGCTTACCAAGGCCAGGCAACCCAGAAAGAGCCTAGCTCCAAGGCCGCAGTGGCTTTGTGCTTTCTTCAGTCCAGGGTGATTCTGCCAGGCCCATCTCAGGGGTCATTTCAGCCAGAGCAGCAAGGTAGGCAGAGGAGTGGGACAGGCCCAGACCACCAGCCCAGTTCCCATGGGCCTGGGGAGTAGAAGGGTCCATACTTGCTACATCAGTAACCCTGGCCCGAGGACTGAGGCCAAGCCATTGCCATCTCTTGGGAGCGACCACTTATGTTCAATCAGTAGTCTCTACCACCAGGCCAGGGCCCTGGAGAGGCAGGAAGGAGCAGCTGGAAACCTGAGTGGGGAGTTGGGAGCACAGCAGGTGGGGCCAGTGGAACAGCCTCCTCAACCATCAGAGAAGCCATCTCAGCCCCTTCTCCACAGTTCACTAGGACCAGCTGTGATCCCTTGTTCAGAGGGAACACCTACTGTCTTCCTGCACCAGATGTATAGGCCCATTTGCAGCAGCCTCATTGGTATTGTGAGAGAGGCCAGCGACGGTGTAGGCCCATGTCCCTGTCCCCTTCTGCAATCCACAACTTGTCATGGAGCCAGCTTCAGAGCATCCTCCTGTCTGGAAGCAGGTACAGGATTAACAGAGGCCCAGGAGGGACAGGTCTGGCTTTGCCCACTTTCCTGGAGCCAGCCTGCTCCACCTGGGAGAAGGCAAGAGACCAGAAAGCTAAGCTGTGCAAGGTGTATCCAGGTGCCTTCCACATCACCCACACATCAGGCAGGACCGTGAAGTGTCACAGATATTTACACCACAACACTAAAAAAATGGAAGTTCAGCCTCCCAACAAAAATCTCTTTTGTATAAGGTAATCTAATACTTGGGGAAGACTAAGAATGGCAGAGAGAAAACAGGTCCCATATACAGATGTGTGTGTGCACTGCAAAGCATGGCAAAAGTGGGATGAGGATTAACTGCTGCCATAAGCCAAGGACCCTTGGAACTCCCACCCAAATAACAATCACATTCACACTTGACATGACATGTTTTGTATTTTTTAATAAAGTTGGTAATCCAATGGACACACAAAACAAAACTGCGCTGAGAAAAACAGTTTCATAAATTAATAAGTGTTAGGAAGTTGGGAGCGGTCAAGGTACCAGGAAGAGAGGATTAGCCAGTCTTTTTGTACAGGTGCTGTGTGACACTTCCACATCTCGGGAGCAGGGCCCGTGCTGTATTGAAGCGCACTTATACAAATGAGTGACAATACAAAGTCTGAGTATGAAAATAAGATTTTTCTCTGAAAACACATTTTTGGCACAGATTAAAAAAAATGTATGTCAGGGGAATTTGATTTTTAAAGTCAGTATTATATATATTTATATATATTATATATTTATATATACACAAATCCCAAGTTCTGCATATCCCACCAAGAAAGAAAATCCTTCTGTTTGCTCTTTTTCAATTGTAAACTGTACATCCTGGTGAATTAATAATGGTGGCAGCAGGAGAATTAAGAAAGGTGATGCATCCGAATGAGCAAGGAGAAGGGAGGGTGGGGACAAAAAAAACCCAATGAAATGTTCCTTGACCCCAAGGTCTCAGCAGAAGTTAAAAGTCCTTCTTGCATTAAAGTCCACAACGTGTGTTCACATACACCAAGATATCCAGAGTGTCACAGCCTGTCTTCACTGTGCAAAAGTCCAGGTCACTAATTTAGTGCAAAGGCAGTTCTGTTTTCTTGTTTCTTAAAAACAAACAAAAAAAAAAAATTCATTCCACTGCCCTGTTCCTTTTCTCCAAAAAGAGAGAGAACCCCAGCCCCAGAGTGTCTGCCAGTCCATTGGTTGGTATTCTGTCCTTGGGCTAAAGCATTATGTAAACATACAAGGTAGCAGCACCACTGCCCAGAGAAGTCTGTCCGACTGAGCCGGGCAGGCAGGAGAGCAAGAGGCTGACCATCTGGCAGTGGAGACTGTCCCCTTCAGCAGCTTCTTCCCCTGTGTGGCTGGGTTGTCCTGTGTATTTTTGCTGCAGAGCCTCGGGAATGTACACCGAGGCGGGACCATTCAGTGGCTCACACAGAGGCGATGACAATCATGAGGTGGGGAGAAATGTTCGAGATGCTGGCAAGGAGGTCTGGGGCCAGACGGGACAGGTGACTCTCAGAAAACTCACAGGGCGGGAAGATCTGCAGCACATAGGCGGGCTGGAGACAGGGACAAGAGAACAAAGTGGGACCCTCTTGTCTTCACATCACCCACCCAAGTCCATTTCCAACAGGGCCCAGAAGAAGCCCTACCCAGCAATCACCTCCATGACTGCATTCACCAGAAAACACCTTGGCAGATGTCAGACAACTTAACCTGAACACCCAGGGCCCTCTCCATCATTAAACTCTAGGAACACCTGTGCTCTCAGTAGTCCCCTGGGTTCTCTCCACAAAGTACAGTGGCAGCCCCTTCCACATGCTCTGCTAGCTTCCTCTGTCCAAAATGCCTTTTTGCCCATTTCCTCTGACAAACTCCTATTTTTAGTTGGCACCAGATTAGTCAGACCACCTATTTGCCCTCAACCAGCCCCACCTGTGTGTGCATGTGCGGCGGGAGGACCTGGGAAAACTGAAGGCCAACCAACCTGATTGGAGCCAGGGTTAGGAACATTGATGATCCCTGCTGCCTGCTTGGCCTGCAGGTAAGTGATGAAGGCAGCCTTGAGGGACTCAGTCTGGCTTACAACATCCTCTTGGTCACGGCCACAGGGCAGTGCCAGCAGCAGACAGTAATCTGTCTCCACCTGGAACAGAAGCAGCCATCACAGTCCAGGGCCTCCTAACCAAACAGCTGTCCATGTGCAGCTCAAGGTATCCAGCCCACAGAAACTCCCACCTCCAAGATGACTTCAAACTCTCATATTTGTTGAATGAAAAAAAGCCTTGTTTCTGGGTCTAGAGGAATTTTTTTACACTTTCAAAGAGAAACAAAACATGCCCGAGACAGGCTGGCAGGAGTCAGCCAGGCTTCCCTTCCTGTTGCTCACCTGGGGCCCAGGTCTTACCGTCATCCTGCGGGCAACCCCTTCCAGCTGTGATGCCTCCAGCCGCATCCTCTGGGCAATCCTCAGTGGGGGGCCTCCTTCAGAGAGGGGCAGGGACCGATGGGCCAGGACGTTGTTTCCGGAGACAAAGTGGAGCTGCACAGCAGCTGTGTCATTCTTGAGGGCCAGGAGGCCCTGCCACACGATGGGGTACTTCTGCTCCCAGGGAAACAAACGGGAAGTGAGTGAATGCCTGGAGAGCCAAGCCATTGACCCTAGGCTTGCTAGTCTAAGTCAATTGGGGAACTCTAAGGACATTTTTAATGTAGCACAACATCTGGGGGACAGGTGGGGCAGTCCCTGCTCACGCTTACCTTCAGGAGCTGAACCATATCCACAGGTCTCTGGGAAGTCAAGTGCGGAGAGGCATCTTGTTTGGGGGTTGGCTGGGCTTCAGTGTGTGGCAGAGCCAGTCCTGGTGGGGTGGTGGGGCCTGAGGTTGTGGGGACAAACAATGGCTGCTTTGGGACAGCCTGAGCAGGAAGAGGGGCCGAGAGGTCAGGCTTCATGGACACAGACACGGGGGAAGGGTAGGAAGTCTGGCCTGTTTCCACCTGTGCCCTCTGAATCTGGGCATGAGGCTCAGGTGGCCTGTTTGCAGGGCCAGCTGGGAGGCGAGGTTGCTCTGTGCCTCCTGTCTGGGTCCCCTTCGCCTCCTGGGAGACTTGAGGCATCTTGCTGCTCAGCAGCTGGCCAGGCTGGCTGAGCTGTGAGGGTGGTGCAGATGGCGCAGGCTGTGAGGACTGTGCAGGTGGGGCAGGCTGTGTGGACTGCACAGGCTGAGCTGGCTGCAAAGGCTCGCCTTCAGGAGGAGGGCCCTGGGTTGGAAAGGAAGGCAAAAAGTAATAGTCAGTCTGTTGTCCACAAGCCCCTGCCCCAGATACGGGGTGCCTCCTGTTAAGTCAAGCCCATGGAAGGAGAGGGAGCTTGATCATGGTGCTGCTCTCAAGAATTCAGGTAAAAAGTCACCTATTACCTCCCTCCTCCCCCATGCACAGAAACTAGCACACCCACCATTCCCACAGACAGCTTCCTCCCCACATCCAGAGGTTTCTGATCTGATCCTTTCATCCCCAGTTCATGAGACTCCTCCTTAACTCCATGAAAAGACAGACATATATCTTAGGGGCTATCTGTCCCCTAAGGGGGAACATTCACTTACACCTTAACCACTACTTTAACTGAAAGGCTGGTCTTGCATAAAAGCCCACTGAGGCCCCCAACATACGTCCAATGGGCAAGGAAGATGCCCAGCTCTCTCACCTGAGCAGGGGTCTTGGTCCGGGCAGGCAGGCCAATGGAGGAAGCAGCAGGAAACTGAGTGTGCGTGAGCTGAGCTGGGGCATGGTAGGTGCGGATGTCACCGTACCTGTATTCTTGGAACAGCTCCCCACTGGAGTGCACAATCTGCACCCCGTGGGTCACCACCACAGGGGGAGTCAGAGGCAGCCCCTGGAGTTGGTTGCTGGGGGTCACTGTGAGGATGCGGGCCTCACCATGAGGGGTGGGGATGGGGGCGGGGGTGGGGGCAGGGGCTGCTTTGGCATCTGATGTCT